TCTCTTTCCTCTCTCCTCTCTCCTCTCTCTCTACTCCTCTCTCTCTCTCCTCTCTCTCTCTCTCTCTCTCTCTCTCCTCTCTCTCCTCTCTCTCTCTCTCTCTCTCTCTCTCTCTCTCTCTCTCTCTCTTCTCTCTCTCTCCCTTTTCAGACCACTTACAAGTTTAACTTACCCATATATCTTCATCTTTATTTTGTTGCTGCTGATGCTGTCATTGTCAAATGCTCTAATAATTGGAACACTTCATTTTTCGTGACAATACACTTTTCCTCACGTCTTCTGACCTGTCTTGTGGATTATTTTCATGTGACCTGTCATCTTGCTTCTTACTTCTTCAGTTGACCAATCTTCTGTTTTTTCTCTTTAAAGTTTCATCTTCAAAGTGTTAGTTATTTTGTTAATGTAAATTTAATTTTTCATGGTGTTATGGTCTTGTTATTTAAAAGTGAGCCTCCACCACACTTTAATTGTCTTCCATTGTAATAAAAGCAGCACTGAGTGAAGTGCTTGATCATGTGCTTGACTACTGTGCATTAAGTTACTTTGATTTTACTTTATTTTTCCCAACTAGGGGCTCCCTAATGAATCGTGGCGTATTACCCGGATAAATGAACTATATGAATTATGCGAAACTTACCCAGCAGTTTGGGCAGTTCCAGCAGCAGCATGTGATAATGACCTACGCAATGTAGCAGCTTTTAGAAGCAGAGGAAGGATTCCGGTAAGATAAGGTCTTGGTGATGCACTTATTAATACTTTTTTAAGGTATATTACTGTCAAGAAATATTTTTTTGATACATTTTGTCACTGCATGATGCTGGTATATACAGTGTTCATCATAGAGGTATGCTGGGTGAGACACCCAGCATAATTCAATGTCAAAAGTAATACTCTACCCTGGTAGGTTTGTTGATGAGATAAAAATTTATGCTGAGCTTGCAACTTAGAGCAGGATATCACAGGATTTCTTAGGGCTACTGGCTGCACCTTACAGTAGTGTGCATATTAATGGGGAGAGTGATGAAATAAGACATTTATTTGGAAAATTAATGTTTATTTAAAAAATACACAACAATGATATAACAGATAATTTGTTTAATAAGAGATATGACTACCCTTTGCTTTTATAAGTATTGCTGCATTCCTTGTCTTAGAATCAACCAGTGTTGAACACATTTTGGTAAGTGTCCTTGGCCCTCTTCTCTTTCTCCTATACATAAATGATCTACCAAATGCTTCGCAATTACTCAAACCCACACTTTTTGCAGATGACACCACATACGTCTTCTCTCACCCGAGCCCAATCACGCTAGCCAATACTGTAAACACCGAATTACAGAAAATATCTACCTGGATGAGGACTAACAAACTTACACTAAACATTGACAAAACCTACTTCATTCAGTTTGGTAGCAGAGCTACAGATGTACCTCTTAACATAACGATAAACGGATCACCTATCACAAAGCTAACAGAGGGAAAATTCTTAGGAATCCACCTCGATAATAGACTCAAATTTCATACACATATACAACAAATTTCTAAGAAAATTTCCAAGACTGTAGGCATACTATCGAAGATACGGTACTATGTTCCACAGTCAGCCCTCCTGGCCCTTTATCACTCTCTTATTTACCCCTATCTCACCTATGGAATTTGTGCATGGGGCTCAACAACAACTAACCATCTCAGACCACTAATTACCCAACAAAAGGCTGCAGTTAGAATGATATCAAATTCTCACTACAGGCAGCACACTCCACCAATATTCAAAACACTCAACCTACTCACCATACAAAACATCCATACTTATTATTGCACTTATTACATACATAGAACACTTAACTCTGATATTAACCCTCCCCTCAAACATCTCCTTGCCAACCTCAGCAGAACACATGGCCATAATACAAGGCACAGATCACTCTTTGATGTTCCTCGTGTCCATCTCACGCTATGCAAAAACTCAATGCACATAAAAGGCCCTAAAATCTGGAATTCATTACCTTTAAATATAAAAGAAACACTACCTGTTTATAAATTCAAGTCTCTTCTCAAAGTTCACTTACTCACTCAAAACCAAATAAATACTGAACAACTGAACCATATAAATTGTATATCCTAAATGTTACTCACAATTATATCACACAAATGTTAAACCTAACTTTGTTATTTTTTTTTAAATACACTACCTAACAGAATACTCCATTCTACTGAATGAACAGCAATGCATGCAACCATAGGACCTGTCTTTGTAATACTCATTTGTATTTTATAGTTATCTGTTTACAATAATGTCTTATCACTGATTTCATCATTGCTTAGTAATCTTAAGTTAATGTTAAGCCAGCCCGTAATGCTGTGCATATAAGTGGCTTTGGCATGCTGCTCTTACCTGTATTTTTTTGTACCTCTGTTTGTATGCTAAAATTTCTAAATAAATAAATAATAAATAAGTTCTTCGTTGTGGTACCAGGTCCTAATAACAGCAGCAGTTGGCTTCTCCACAGCTAAGCAGTCCTGTTTCACGATCCTCTGTTTGGTTATTTCCCAGAAATTCTCAATTAGGTTGAGGTCAGGAGAGTTTCCAGGCCAATTTAGAATGCTTAGCCCACTATCTTCAAAGAATGATAGCATGTTTCTGGAAGTGTGGCATGGAGCAAGATCCTGCTGGAAAAGGCCTTCTCAATCAGGAAAGTCTCTATCCACATTGGGAAGAGATTGAGTTGCCAGGATTGCCTTGTATTTGTCACTGTTCATTGTTCCCTCAACAATAACAAGCCATCCAGGGCCTTTAATAGTAAAACTATCCCAAAACATCTTAGGTGGGTGTTTTGGCACTTGCCGAATGTGTTCATTCAGAAGAGGTTCACCTTTGTTCCATCTCACTACCACTGATCTGTACCCATGTACTTCAGAATGCACCTCATCTAAAAAATGTAACTTTTCCCCTTTCATCTGTAGTCCATCCCTTATGATCAAGTGCCCATTGCAGTCATTTTTTCTTCATAACAGCAGTCAATAATTGTTTCTTTACTGGCTTTCTGTCAGTTCTGCCAACTTCAAGGAACCTTTATCGAACAGTTGGTTTTCTTGGGCTCCTTCACACTATTTCTTATAATACCAATATTCAGTGAATATGACGCACTCCTGATATCTGTCTTTAGGAAGGCACTGAATTTCTCAGTGGAAGACCACCAGTGATATCAAGTAACTCTTCCAGTGCAACTGGGAGGTATAGGGGTGTGCAAGGCAATGCAAATAACCTTGTTGGCATGAGGTGTTGTTCTGCATTTTCTTCCACATCTTCCTCGACACAGCACTCCACAATCATCAGCTCTCTTCAGAATCCGACCAACAGTTGAATTGCAAGGCTCAAATTTTTGCCAGTCTGTCTGATACTCAAATCACCATGTCTTCTAAGGGCTACAGTACTTGCATGCTTCCTAGGTGTAACATCCATTATGAATTGAAGGGGAGAATTTGATGAAACCACGTTCACTCACGGAGCACACTTGTACCACCTTACAGAACAGCAGCCGTTGTAGCACTGACAAGAGTCACAGGGTAACACCACAGCTGGATGGTTGCCAGAAGTTAGTAGCAAACTCTTCTGCAAAGAAAAGAATCCTAACTACAGTAATTAAGCCAGAGACAAAGACATATTATGAGATAATCACAAAGTTTACTCCTATCCAAATTAATTTGCACACTACTGTGTCCACCACCAGTGTGGTGGACGATTTTTGTGTCTGTGGTACCCCTGCGCCATGTGATCTTGAGGGCCGAGTTTGTTAGATTTTTTTGGCTATTAACCCTGAAGAGTGTGTGAATCATTTCCTAAACAGTTGAATGATGCCCTGTGAATACTAGGCTGTTGAGGAGAGGTGTGATGACATGGTTTTTTGGAGAGATTCTGGAAGAAGTTGCAAAAGTTGATTGATGAATTTAGAAGGGTATGTTTAAAGAAGGAAATTAAGAGTGAACATTAAAAAGAACAAGGAGATGAAAGTAACAAAATATTGAGGCAATGAAAGATATATTAGATCGGAGGAAGAGAATATGGAGCAAATAAATTTATTCAAATATGTGGGAGTGGACATGTTAGCAGATGAGTCCATAAAAAATGAGATTAACAATAGATTAGATGGTGGGGAAAAAAGGTGGGAGTGCATTGAGGCATTTGTGGAGACCAAGACCCTTCCCTTATATGTGGTGCCTGAAGGAGAAGTACCATAATGAAGTGGTATCAACTCTGTAAGCTTCATCATCTTACCTAACAGACACCTCTGTTAGGTAAGACACCATTTTAATGTTCATGGTATCAACTCTGTTTTATGGGTGTAAAACAGGGGCTTTAATCATTGCAGTGAGGGAGAGGTTCAAAATAGTAGAGATGTCATGTTTGAGGGCAATGTATGGAGTGAATATTATGCAAAGAATTCCAAGTGTGGAGTTTAGAAGATGGTGTGAGGCTACAAAAAGGTATAAGGGCTGAGGAGTTGTTGAGGTGATTTGTTTATGTTGAGAGGATGGAGCAGAATAGGATGACTAAGAGGGTATATATATATCTGGGGTGGACAGAAGGAGGGGTAGGGGTAGCTCCAGGAAGGTTTGCAGGGAAGAGGTAAAGGAGGTTTTCACTGCCAAGGGTTTGAACATCCAATATGATTGTGTCAGCATATTAGATGGAAGTGAATGGAGACAAGTGATTTTTATAACTTGACATGCTGCTTAGCTTGCATATATGTTTATACTGTGTGTGCACATGCATGTGTGTGTGTGTTATATTTATTTATTTATTTATTATATTTATTGAATTTGAATTTTATAGTGGCCTCACTTTGTATAGTGATGTCAGCTTTTATAATGACCTGAGCTTGTATAGGGACCTCACTTGTATAGTAACTGATGCATACAACATACCATATCTAGTTGTTATTGTTTGTGATTTTCCTTGACAGGTACTAAGTTGGATTCATCCAGAAAGTCAGGCAACCATCACACGTTGTGCTCAGCCTCTCGTTGGTGTTAGCGGGAAGAGAAGCCGTGATGATGAAGCTTACATACAACACATCATGGATGCGAATGCTCAGAGCCACAAGATTTTCATTATGGATGCTCGACCCAGGTACAGTGTACGTGGGGTAAAATTGTATATACGTATGTACATGTGGGAGCGTGCTTGTGTGCACGCTTGTACATGTACGTATATACATATACATACATATCCAGAGGTGGGAGAGAAACTGTACATATATGTGTACCAGATGCAGGCCTAGCTGAATTCTGGCTGGCTGGTGGGCAGGCTTCCTGCCTTACTTCTTGCCCTCCTGACCATGCACTTGCTCTTCCTTGCCTTACCTGCCCTGTCTGTGCTTCTTGTAGATAATCTTTTTGCCTCTGGCAATATAATTTTCAGTTGTACACAAGAGGCTTGTCTCTGTCACCACAATGAAAATGGACAGGTCCTGGGCAAAGCCTGGAACATACAAGCTTTTGATTAAGCGGAGTTGGATGATTTTATCAAGCATATGGCCAAACTAGACAAACATTTGATGTAACATATTGGGTCCTCTTCATGGCTATTTAAATCAGACATCCCATTAAACATACATGTTGAGCCTCTGTCCGGCCAGATTCTTTTTTGTCCATTATAACAGATACAGTAGGGCCCCACTTGTATGGCAGGTTAGGTTCCAGGCTACAGCTGTAAAGCGGAAATTGCCGTAAAGTGGAACACTTTTTTTTCCACTTATAAGTGCATATAAATACTAGATAACAAGTTTACACTAACATATATTAAGTTTGCAATAGAACTAGGCATCAAAAAACAATAAAAAAGTAAAATACACATATACTACATAGTACGTACACTCATTACTTACCTTAAAATATTTGTAGTCTTAATCTAGGGTGAGATGAGTAGTATTTATTGTAAGAAATCAAGTGTGGTATGTATGGTAGCCAGCCAAGCTACCACACTAGGCCAACCCACCTACACATAAATTTCTATGACATTTAAGCATCCCAGAACGATAAAATGCATATACAGTTCACTCATTACTTACCTTAAAATATTTGTAGTCTTAATGTAGGGTCATAGGTGAGTAAATGAGATAAAAACAAACAAATGAAAGAGAGAGAGAATGAGTACATGAGAGAGGACACTCGTGGAGTTATGTAAACAAACCAGGCAAACGCCAGTTTTGTAAACAAACCAGGTGTACCTATCTGGTTTGCGTACAAATTACATTGTGTACAAGTTGTTTACATTGATACAGTAGAATAAATAAAGAGGAATACTCCCATTCTCATGTAATACCATTTTTAGAAGAAATGACGCTCTGAGTGAAGGCATACAAAAGGAATAATTTTCTACAGTTACGCCCAGTAACACATTTTCTATTATGTTGGACTAGAGAAAACGTTATTGTTGTCGTCACTCTTAGAAGCTGTCTGGCTCCAACATCTCATATTTATGTTTATTTATTCTACTGTGGGGGTGTATTTATCATCTTGATATACACCTACCATCCGACTTACGACCTGCTCGACTTACGACCACTCGACTTACGACCGTGTTTTTTATGCCAAATTTCTGGGAAATAAACAACTATTTGTGTTGTACAGTAGGGCCCCGCTTTACGGCGTTTTGCTAATATGGTCATTTCAAATTATGACCAAAACTCGATATACGGCTCCCCCACCTGACTTTCTAATACGGTCACTGTGCCCCACCCGGTTTGTTTACATTCTCTGTGAGATCCGTAAGCACTCTCTCCATTATGTCTGGAAACTCCAAAATTTTAAGTGTTTTTAAAAGTTATTTCATATTTTATATATACTCTGATAATTATACTTATGTATACCTGTACTTAAATAAACTTACATACTGTGCTGGCATGCAGGTACACATTAAAATCAGTAAGTGTTCTTTTTCTCCAGACGTCATATTAGTAATAATAATAATCACAGAGTCTCATTTAAATGTCGTATATTACGTTAATATACACATTTTCATTTATCCATCTATGATATTTTTTCAAAATTATATAATAAACACGATGCATAACATATAAATATGATAAATACACCCCACAGTAGAATAAATAAACATAAATATGAGTATCGTAAGGGTTCTTAAATGGAGATATCGTAGGTTGAAGGTAGACACACTTGTTGGATGGTAACTATATTGTCAGACTGAGATGATGAGGGATGGAGCCCGCCGCCTTGCCTGTCTGCTGAATGGTCTGCCGCCGAGTGAGAGCGGGGCAGAGGTATGAGCCTACACATGTGCATCCCGTGACATCACACAAAGCCACAGGCCTACAAGGGATCTCGTATCTAAAGCACATGGATGATACTAATATGCTATGCTATATAGTACAGGGAATACAGGGATCAGCAACTATGCTGACAGCTCGGTCATGTTACGTATGTCGTCCCGACATACACTACTATACTATAGGCTGAACAGGCAGGCGGATCTGGGCTGATTCTATACAATAACAAATTCATATATAACTTAGAACTAATGGATGGTACAACATGATTTTGACGTAATGGGTGTTAACGTAATGAGTTTTAACGTAATGCATTACAAACTATAAGAACAAATCATTGTACAATATGGGTGGAATTGATCGATCGATCTGTATTCATGCACTCTACGGATTCTGAGGAAGAATATATATATATATACAAGGTGAAATTAACAGCAAAGCATCTGGTGCGCACTCAGACTATTACTGTCAAATTCTCAGAATACGGAGGGAACGTGAACACGAAAATTTCTGACAACTGATCAGCTAATAACAAAACACACAGTTGATAATTTTATTGATCTCGGACATCTAATTATACAGGCTGTTTACACTTAAACCCAATTCTGCGAGGGTAAGGTTTACGTATGCAGAATGGTTATCATCTCTGGGAGGATCGAATTCCTCTGCAATGGCTAACACATGCCTTGACTGAGGACAGTCTGAACGAGTATCTAGAAAAGATACAGCTATAATCACTAGTGACTGTGGAATTACTAATTCTTCTGCTAGGAGTACTCAACTCGACTATTCGATACAGTAATTCTTGGCTCATTACAAAGTCACTAATGGGTGCTTGTGGCTTCACAGTAAGAATAAGATCTTCCTGGAGCAGGAATCGAATCACACCAAACCACATGGGATCTGTTCTTTGGGCAGTTTTGACATCCTCGACAGTAAATGGAGGATCTGCAGTAACTACACTAACATGTCGCGATAAAGCATCTGCGACTACATTCGACTTGCCAGGTAAATGTTCAAAAGTGGGATTGAACTCTTGGATAGTCAAGGTCCATCTGGCTAACCTTCCAGTAGGCTGTTTGTTCTGGAATAAAGGTATCAGTTCTTTCTTACTGGAGGAATGAACAAACTCGGTGGAGTGGATGATTCCCCTCAGTTGAAAAAATTAACGCTATAACACGCAATATGAGCAAGGGAGAACGAATCTACTATCTCAAACTGCAAGCAAAGGGAAAGGAAATGAATACGGTCAACAATGCTGATATTCAATCTGAGTCGCACACAGTGACACGAGGTATCAACTATAAAGAAACTACACTTACAAACGTTAACAACGTGAAAGTTATTCGAGAAATAACTTCTTACAATGCACTGATTACTGTCAACTAGGATGGGATCACCATCTGAAACACAAGGAACAACAACAGACACTCTAGTGAGAACACTAGCTGTAACAGAGACGTCTTTCTGCAGACAGCATGTCACATCAACAAGAGATGGCATTACTAGTTTCAAGTAATCGTTTTCTGACAAGGCATCCCCTGTGGAGAAACTACTACTCGAACTAGCAGTCATTGCAGGGATAGGCTGTGCACTCAAGGCAGTCTGAGTGTCCCCGGACACTTGAGGCAACGGAACACTATCCTGCAAGTCTGAAGGTGTAGGTGGAACACAGATGGGAATGACAGAATTACTAGTGCCTGACCGCTCGGCTACGTTAATAAGTAATTCACGGATCTATAGGAACTTAATCTGAACTTCACATTTCGCAGCACTTTAACAAATCTCAGATACAAGCTGTGAGAACAAACACATTGCTCAAGGGCTAGATATTGTCTTTCAGTCAGTAAGGGAATATTGGTACTGTGGACTGATTCATATTGACTTTGACTGGCATGATACACTAAGTGAACGTTCAAAAGTGACTGGGACATCTCAGTGGACTTACTGAAGGACATAAAGACAAGAAAAATGGAGAGAACAAAAGAAAATGGTAACTGAGGAACACACAACACAGTGAACTTAAATGGGAAGAAAAAAAAATTGCTTAACTATTCTGCATAAGTAATTAAAAATTGACAAGTTACACAGTAAGCAAAGAACTCACACAAGAAAAATATGCAACTGAAATGAACAACACTGAAAATGAAGAGAACTTGTACTTTACTCAAATCTAATTTGCTCAACTTTTACTTTAAATTGAATGAATGGCACAGTGAGTTGTCTTTGCTTTCAATGCAACAGGTAAATACACAATAAAATGATAAAATGGACTCAATAAAACTTGTGCAAAAATAAAACAGAGGCACAATTCACTGAAATAAAATAAAATGACACAGACAGAATAAAATATTATGCACAGAACGGAGCATATGAAACTGCACTGAAATAAACTGTTGCAATATTGCAAATTGCTAATCAAAAAGTATTGCACAACTGCATAAAATTTCTGCAAGAAATTTTTTTAAAAACAACACAATATTTGCACAAGAATTATTGCAAAATGAATCAGTGTGCAATAATAAAAAAAATTATTACACACTCAAGGAAAGAAATATATCAAGGAATGAACACTTTAACTCTTAACTGTAGCTTAAACAACACATAACAAGCAAAAGAACAATTTACTTTAAAAGAAGAACTTAAAAAATTGCACTAAGAGTGAATTTGTTCAATAAAACATGAAAAATAATAGGTGCTAAAAACACGCAACTAAAAAGGTTTGAACACTTACAGTGATGCAGAACACAACACATCAACAAACACAGTACTAGAATTTTCTTGCAAAGAAACTTGATGTGTGAAAAATTTTGTAAAAAATGATTTCTTGCTTGCACAAAAT